TATATACACACACATGCACCACTATTGTAGATGAACTAGTGAGATCTGCTTTACAAGCAGACTGTTGATGTTGTGTTAAAGTTTTTAGCTTTTGCTATTTATTAATTTGTATTTGTATAATGTAATTCTTAGCACAAACATTTCATGTGCATATATGCTGTAACTCTAAGAAATATGCAAGATCTCATTGTTAACAAGACTTACAAAAGTGTGCATGTGCAGGCATTCTCAAGCCTGTCTTTGTTCATTAACCTCTTAAATGTATACCAATTAGACGAATTTCTACAAGCACTTAGTTCTGCCAATCTGCTCTGTCATTCGAACAGGATTTATCTCTTATCCTCAAACATTACACTTGTCTTTTTAAGAGAGAATGGAATGAGGTTGTATGTAGATTGATATGTGTTTACAGTCAAACTAGCTCTCAAGCATCTTTTGTGATTAAAAATCAGTTCACTTATTTAAACCGTGTTGTTATCATATTCCTTAACGTTGGAAATAATTACCCATTTATTGGTAGGAGAATAACCCATAACTCGCAGAGCGTCATTGTGCTGAATTGCATATGGGCGTGGTCCGTGACTACCTAGCAGCCGTAAAGAGGCGCTTATAGTAGCTACGTGTTCACATCATTCCACGATGGGCTGAAGTGAACCATGGCATCGGAGTAACCCCTTACTCTTCCGAAAGATCCAACAGGTTCTTTAAAGTGCACACTAGCTAGATGTGTACACAGAACCTCCATTTTAAGTCCTTATCCTAGACGACTTGGTTCTACCAACTGAACCATGGGCGAGTAGTGGTTGGAACCAGCGCCGATGTTAAGGCTGTAATTTGAGTTGCCCCTGCCTAACCGCTCTGCCATTTGGCTCGCCTGACTACATTGATTAGGTAGAACAACAGACATATTCAATTAATTTATTTGCCTTTTAAAAAGTACAATTCACCAACCATTTAAAAGTGTTTACATTTCTAAAAATTAATTGTATAATAGATTAGTCTTATGCATATTAAACAGAATAGAGATGTTTGTAAAACAAATTGTTGTTTCATAACTATTATTTTATTCACTGAGCGAATTTCCATATAGATTTGTGGCTCTGTTATGAATTGAAGTGGTGGTGCTGAGTTAAACTTTGTATTTAATATAATGTAACATGATAATTAAGACCTTATTGGTCTCCGAGCTTCTCGGAGCTCGGTATTGTAGAACTAACGTTACAAAGAGGGTGCACAAAGTGGTGCTCAATTTACACAATAATGAGGCATAGTAAAACTATGTTGTTACTGACAAGCATAATGCGCCTGATCTCAGCTTTCATTTCTATTTAGAACATTTACTTACATCACTACAAATCATTGCCGTTTCGGTGAGTATAAGTGTACTTTTTTGCAGTTTCAACCCCCTCTAGAGGGGGTACTTCATGCAAATGACGGCACCAGCCCTTAAAATCGGTAGTTTTACCATGGAGGAATACAGTAATATGTTTCTACGTATTCCTCCATGGTTTACATGTTATACTGATCAGAAAGAAAATAGTACTCTTGCCCATAAATATTGTTGTTTATTAATATTATAGTTTATTATAACTGTACTTTATTTATTATTATTATTATTATTATTATTATTATTATTATTATTATTATTATTATTGGTATTGTTAGTACTGTAACTATTATTTTACGATAACCATTCATGTTTACAATATACATACACTTAAAAGTTGAAAAAAAAAACAACCAAAATACTGTTCATATGACGGCACCAGTCCTTGTCATCTGGCCATGAGTTTAGTTTTACAGTCTTTGCTGTAAACATACTGATCAGAAAGACAATAGTACTGTACACTTACCCATAAATCATCGCCTTTTTGCCGTGGCTATCGTAATCAAACAAGTTCTTATTATAATTTTTCCCAGGGATCTCTATATCTGTAAATATGAGTACTGACTTCTCCGATGGCTCGTCAGAAATGTCATTTGTTTGAGTAGGTCATCGGATGTGGTCGGTTTTGACTTGATCATGTATGCTGTTGTCTGCTGTCACTATAAGCGCCTCTGCCCAGAGAGATATATGTGTGTCGTCTTCTGGTGGGATCAGACACCATGCACATTTGAAGAACATTCCACATCCACATGTGACCGAACCATTAGTACCAAAGACACCATTCTTATTGTTCCCTTTGACTTTCATTTGATCTATCTCTTTTACCACCTTTGACTTCTGCAGCATTTCACGTGTTCCCCAGGACACGACATTCAAGTTACTCAATGAGTAGCCTAGATCACAAGAAGAACATATACTGTTGGAATTGCTAAGAAATAAAGAACACGGAAAAAGACGTTTCCAACTTCCTGAGGATGGAGCATTGCAGCTAATAAATAGATTAACACTAGCCCGACACTTCTGGTCTACTAAAATAACCAGCTCCAGAC